AGTTCTTAAACAGCTTTTTCCAAGGAAGAAATGGAGGGACATTACCAGCTGACCTATTGATTCGCTCCAAAAGCCCTAAGCAGACATTGTCCTGTTTGCCTGTCCTAGTGAAATTGGAGGCACGCACAAAGACACCTCTCAGCATTAGATAGCATACCACATACCTAGGGTCTGTGGGGCTGGGGTCCGTGCTGTGGGAGATGGGAGGGATGGCCCGCTTGAGCAGTGAGCAGCGAGAGTGGGGTGGGGCAGGGGGGAGCCAGGCAGACCCTGCTGTGCCTGCAGTCTCCCCCAGAGCTCTGGCTAGGTAAGGGAGCTGAGGGGTGGGGCCAGCCCTGTTCTCTGGAGCAAGGAGCATAGCCCAGCACAGCCCAGGGCTGCAAAGCATCTGGGATGCTGGGAGACTAGTTTAACTTAAACCAGGAAGGGGTCTGGGACAGACGCTGCGTAAACCAATTTGACCCAAGTCAGTTAAGTCTGATACTACATTCAATCAGGTTTATCTTAAACCAGTTTCAGACATTTTGAAACTGGTTTATGTGCACTGACCTTATGTTCTGTTACAGGTTTAAATCAGTTTCTGATCACTTGAACTGGTTTATATGTAATGTCTGTGCCTAGCCCAACTAGATCATCCCAGCCAAAGCTTTGTCTAGCCAGGTCTTAAAAACCTCCAAGAATGGAGAGTCCACAACCTCCCTGGGTAGCCTGTTCCAATGTTTTACTACCCTCCTAGTGAGAAAAATCTTCCTAATATCTAACCTAAACTTCCCTTGCTACAACTTGAGGCCATGCTCCTTGTTCTGTCATCTGCCGTCACTGAGAACAGTCTAGCTCCAACCTCTTTGAAACCCCTCTTCTTGTAGTTGCAGGTTGCTATTAAAGTCCCTCTCAGTTTTCTCCCCTCTAGACTAAACAGACCCAGTTCACTCAGTCTTTCCTCATAAGTCATGTCCCCCAGCCCCCTCACCATTTGTGTTGCCCTCCACTCAACTCTCTCCAATTTGTCCACATCCTTTCTGTAGTGGGAACCCAAAACTGAACACAGTACTCCAGATGTAGCCTAACCAGTGCTGAATAGAGGGGAATAATCAATTTCCTTTGACCTACTGGTAGTATACCTACCAATGCAGCCCAGTATGCCATTAGCCATCTTGGCAACAAGGGCACACTGCTGACTCATATTCAGCTTATTGTCCATGGTAACCCCCAGGTCCTTTTCTGTAGAGCTGCTGCCCAGCCAGTCAGCCCCCAACCTGGGATTGTTCTGTCCTAAGTGCAGGACTTTGCGCTTGTCCTTGTTGAACATTGTGAGATATCTTTTGGGCCAATCCTCCAATTTGTCTAGGTCACTCTGAATCCTAGCCTTACCCTCCAGTATATCTACTACTCCCCCCAGCTTGGTGTCATCTGCTGTCATCTGTCACCAACCCCTGGGGCACTCCACTTGATACCAGCTGCCAACTAGACATCAAGCCATTGATTACTACTCTCCATGCCTGATGCTCCAGCCAGTTTTCTATCCACCTTACAGTTCATTCATCCAGCCCATACTTCCTTAGCTTGCCTACAAGAATGTTGTGGGAGACCATATCAAAAGTCTTGCTAGAATCAAGGTATACCATATCCACTGGTCTCCCTGCATCCACAGAGCCAGTGACTTTGTCATAGAAGGCAATCCAGTTTGTCAGGCATGACTTGCCTCTAGTGAATCCATGCTGACTGTTCCTAATCGCCTTTTTCTTCTCCAAGTGCTTAGAAATGGATTCCTAAGGAATCTGCTCCGTGATTTTTCCAAGGACTGAGAGAGGGTGACTGTTCTATAGTTCCATGAATCCTCCTTTTTCTCTTTCTTAAATATGGACACTATATTTCCCCTTTTCCAATTATCTGGCACATCTCCTGATCACTATGAGTTTTCAAATATGATGGCCAGTGTCTCTGCAATCACATCAGCCAACTCCCTCAGCACTCTTGGGTGCATCCCATCTGGTTCCATGGACTTGTACATGTCCAGCTCTTCTTAGTAGTCCCTAACCTGTTTTTTGCCACTGTTGTCTGCTCACCTTCTCCCCAAACTGTGTTGCCTGGTGCAGTAGTCTGGAAGCTGACCTTGCCTGTGAAGACTGAGTTGAAAAAGACATTGAGCACTTCAGCCTTTTCTGCATCCTCTGTCACTAGGTTGCCTCCTCCATTCAATAAGGGACCCACACTTTCCCTGATCCTCCTGTTGCTACCAACATACTTTTAGAAACCCTTCTCGTTACCCTTCACATCCCTTGCTATCTGCAACTCCAGTTGTGCTTAGGGCTTTCTGATTTCATTCCTGCATGCCCTAGCAATGCTCTTATACTCTTATATTCCAAGTTTCCACTTCTTATAAGCTTCCTTTTTGTGATTTTAGTTTATTGAAGAGTTCTCTGCTAAGCCAAGCTGGTCTTTGCCGTATTTGCTAGTCTTCCTGCACATCAGGATGGTTTGTTCCTGCACTCTCAGTAATGCTTCTTTAAAGTACAGCCAGCTGTCCTGAACTCCTCTCCCCCTCAGTCTGGCTTTCCAGGAGATCCTGCCCTTAGTGAGTCAGTCTGTTTTTCTGAAGTCCAGGGCCCTTACTCTGCTGCTCTCCTTCCTTCCTGTCCTTAGGATCCTGAACTCTATCATCTTGTGGTCACTGCTGCCCGAGTTGCCATCCACTACTATATTCCCCTCCAATTCTTCCCTGTTTGTGAGCAGCAGGTCAAGAAGAGCATGGCCCCTAGTTGGCCACTTAAATACTTGCACTAGGAAGTTGTCCCCAACACTCCCCAAAAACTTCCTAGATTGCCTGTGCACTGTTGTATTGCCCTCCCAGCGGATGTCAGGGTGATTGAAGTCTCCCATCAGAACCAGGGCCTGTGATCAGGAAACTTCTGCGAGCTGTTTGAAGAAAGCCTCACCTACCATTTCCTCCTGGTCTGGTGGCCCATTATATAATGATATGATTTATAGATGCAGTTCCCAGGCCTTTAGAGAGACTACAGCAGTCAGGATATTACACTTGCATGCTTCTCGAGAGAGATTAATTCATCTTCTTCCTTAGTCTGCCCTTTATTTGCACTGCAGCTGAAAGGAAATAGTCAAATTAACAATTTACTGAGAGGTTAAAGAGGGCAAGGATTTACTGCATCAGTTACTTGGTGGTAACTGCCCATGTGAATGTTCTTTACCTGGCAGTAGATGAGAGCGGAACTGCAGTAGTTTTGCCATATTTTTATTGTGGGCTAGTTTTAATCTACCACTGAGGTAAGAGCGTGCATAGAAGTAGTTGCCACTGAGCAGCTGACCCACCATAAATCCCTGTCCCCTTTCCTTATGTGTCTCTACCCCTAGTTTGGGGAAGGAGGGGGGAAGCCATGGCTTTTCTGCTAAGGAAGTCATGGAGTGGTTGAAGAAGAGCCTAGGAAGTAAATGGAAAAAAAGAATAACCTGCCAGTAAAACTTTGCTATTAATCATCTCTTCTGGTAGACTCTGTTAGAGGAAGTATGTTTTTTTTCCCAGGGCCAACAGCTGTCCCTTCCCTTTCAGCTACCTGAGAGGTATAGTCATATCAGGCATTTAGTTCTTATGAGTTGTATTTTTTTTATCATTAGGAGCTTGGTCCTACAAGAGCACAGAATTAGTTATTAAATGCGTCAACTGTTCGTATATCATGATTACTTGTGAGTTATGCTTGTTCAATTGGATTCTAATTTCTTGATTTATAAATTATATTAAGGTTTGTCTACACATAAATTGTACCATTAAGTATACCAGTGCAGGTATGGTGATACAGGTACTTCAGTATGGGCAAAGTTAAATCAGTATAAGGGGATCTTATAGCATTCCTACCATAAGGGAAGAGAAGCCATATGTGGCTATATGGCATCTTATACTGGTATAACTGTGTCCACACTAGGGAGACTGTACCAGTACAACTGTTGTGGTAAATAAAAAAGAGGTGGTGGCGGAGTCAAAGTCAAATGCCTAATCAAAATATTTTTGCAGCTACAACATTTGTTTGTTAGTTGACCTAGCAGTAGTGAACATTCCTGCCACTAGAAAGATCAAAGTTTCATTTTCTGGCTTGGTCACTAGGCTGGTATGAGTCTGAAAGTTAATAGAAGCATGGTTATTCATCGCACAGATGCACCTCCTAGGTTATAGCAACAAGAAATCCCTAACAACTCAACAAGCAAACTTCTAAGTGTTCTGGACTAGCTGCTTTAGTACCTTCTTCTTGTGTCCTTGTCATAAACTAGATGTTTTTCCAGAATTGTGCACATCTGAGATTGTTGATGACAAGATATTTAGCAGATGCATTGCTGTCTGACAGGGGCTGCAATATAAATGCTTCTATTATGGCCGTCATGGCTTAGTACCTGTGGACAAAATCTAGGCATATGAAATGAGAAACTTTTATTCTGGTTTTGGTTCTTTTCTAGTTCTTTTACATTGATAATGAGTGCTAATTTCATTTAACAAAAATACAATTATTTCTGGGGGGGGGTTAAAAAGCTAAAAAAATATATTTGCAATTCATCTGTTTTAAATACAGAAGATGCATACAGATAGCAATAACAATAAGGAAGCATGAAGAAAGGCTACATCAGTGAAAACAGGAGAATGTGAGACTGGATTTGAAAGCTTTAGAGGATTCACTAATCTTTTGCCCAGTGTGAGGGCCAATCAGTCTGAATGCTTGTGCTTGTAAACCAGCCTGCTTTTCCACTTTGGTTTGAGAGGTCAGAAATTCTGATTTCCAAATTATGTTGGAGCCTCAATTATATAAATATTAACTAAACTGAGGCTCTAACTAGCATCATCCACAGATCTCGGGGAAAATGTGCAGATGGTAATGGTGATTAATAAATCTAGGAGGGAAGGTTTTTTGGTTTGTTTTTTTTTTTACTTTTACCTGTAGTTGCAGTAACAAGCCCTTCCTCTTTCTCCTACTCCAATTTCATCCTGTTTGCTTCCACAGAACCTCCAGTGGGCCCGAGATGTGTTGCTAGGCAGCAGTATCCCATGGCAGCAGCTGAAGCACATGCCAGCACAGGGTCTCTTCTGCGAGAGGAACAAGACTAATTTCTTCAATGTAAGTTCATACTGTTGATAAATAATAACATTGTATATCACAAACATATCACATCTGGAGTACTGTGTTCAGTTTTGGGCCTCTCACTACAGAAAGGATGTGGACAAATTGGAGAGAGTCCAGTGGAGGGCAACAAAATTGGTGAGGAGGCTGGGGGATGTGCCTTGTGAGGAGAGGTTAAGGGAACTGGACTTATTTAGTCTTGAAAAGAGGAGATTGAGAGGGAATTTAATTGCAGCCTTCAACTGCCTGAAGGGGAGTGGGGTTCAAAAGATGATGAAGCTAGACTGTTCTCAGTGGTGGCAGATGACAGAACAAGAAGCAACAGTCTCAAGTTACAGTAAAGGAAGTTTAGGTTAGATATTAGGAAAATTTTCTTATCAGAAGGGCAGCAAAACACTGGAACAGGTTACCCAGAGAGGTTGTGGACTCTCCATCCTTGGAGATCTTTAAGATCTGGCTAGACAAAGCCTTGGTTGGGATGACCTAGTTGGGGATGGTCCTCCTTTGAGCAGGAGGTTGAACTAAATGACCTCCTGAGATCCCTTCCAACCCTCATTTTCTACGATTCTGTGATTACTTTCAGACAGTCATTTTAACACCTGCTTCTCACTTGAAAGAGTTTGTTGAGGAACAGTGATGCGGGGAATTCCACAAGGGGGACATTGAAGGAGCTTCATAGAGGGCACAAGAGAAATTGGATTTGTATTACCAGTGTTATTCCATCTAAAATGAAGCATGTGGATATCATATGGGATTAACGTAAATAGTGGAAGAAGGTTCTGTGACTCACGGACATGTATCAATCATTGAGTGCTTGCTGGGATGAGGACTGTTTAAACTTCTCATTCTGTTTGTTTCTGTTATGTCCTTGCCATTCATTTGATCTCAGATGAAGCTTGCAGTTTTTGTGGCTCTCAGGAATAGTGCCTCCTGCTCAAAGAATTCATGAGAGATGGAGGAGCAGTCTCTCTCAGGCTGAACTCCTTTAGTATTCCCATGAAAATCATGGGATGTCACCAAGAAGTCATTCAGTCCATTGCAATGTCCACTGTTTGCCATAACTGTTTAAATATTAAACAAATGAGAGCGTTTTTCCTCCAGAAGAATTGCTTTGCATCATTAACCACCCCCCCCCCCCCCCCCCCCCCCCCAGG